AAAAAAGATACTTCCTAAAGCTGGGTATAATCCCAGTACTTGGGAAGCTGAGACAGGAGGATTGCCATGAGTTCAGGCCAGCCTCAGCTACATAGTGAGTTCAGGGGGACCCTGTCTCCAACAATCAAACAGAAAGCCACACTTAAGCTACTCCCTAAAAAACATTCCAAGACAGCATGGTGATATAATATCGCACCTATAATGTTAGCAGTCTGGGAGGCTGAGATGGGAAGGTCATAAATTCAGTCCCAGCCAGGACATTCTAATGACTTAGTGAGACTCTGTCTCAAAATAAAAAAAATGACAGGAATGTAGCTTAGTGCCAAAGCCCCTGGGTTCAATATCTGGTACCACCAAAAGAAAAGACAGGGGTTTTAAGATCAAATAATTGTGGAACTCAAGATAGTATCCTGTACAGTGTAGGAGACTCCCGATGTTCATTAGCTTATTGAAACTTCTGATACTACCTGCAAAACAAAACAAAATGTAAGCATATTAAACTAGAATTTTGAAAATGTACTTGTACATAGAACCCAATCCCATTGAAAACTATTAACATCTCTGTGAAGACATTTTAGAAAAGCGTTGTAATACATTCCCTGTTTTCTTTTCTCCCTTGACTTAGCATTGTTCACAAAAGCTTTTTGTAAACTGTTGAATATTTTTTTTATTTTCAATTTTTCCTGTCCTTGAATAGCATCTATTTCAAGGAGGATTAAATTGCTGTACTTCAATTTTTTTAAAGAGCTGAAAAATTAAATTTTCTTTCATTATGTCTAGCCAATTCAGAGGAAATCATAGAGGGAAATTCTGTTGACTCATCGATCCAGCAAGTGATGGGAAGTGGAGGCCAGAGAGTCATCACCATAGTGACTGATGGAGTCCCTCTGAGTAACATCCAAACTGCCATCCCTCCTGGAGGCCTTGGCCAGCCATTTATAGTAACTATGCAAGATGGACAACAAGGTGAGTTATCTGTGGCAGACAGTTGCTCCTTAGAAAATGTTTTAGACAGTCCACCCCTCTGAAAATGAGGCATTAAAACAAATAGCAGGAGCCAGGCATGGTGGCGCATGCCCGTAATCCCAGCACTTGGGAGGCTGAGGCAAGAGGATTGCTATGAGTTCATTCAAGGCCAGCCTGGGCTACAGAGTGAACTCAAGGTCTGAACTACATAGTGAGACCCTGTCTCAAAAAGACAAAAAACAAATAGTGGGACTTGGAGAATCCCGTATGCAAGATGGGACAAATTGGACCAGCCAGATAGCTCAGCAGACTGAAGAGCCTACTTAGGCACAGTACAGTGGCCAGGGTTCATTCCCCCAGCATGCTGTCCTGGCCCTGCTCCCAGGATGTGCTGAGAGGGCCATTGAGACTGGGCGTGGTGGCATGACTCTTGGGAGGCTGAAAACAGGAGAATCACTGTGAGTTGGGATCTACATAGTGAGACCCTGTAGACCCTAGACCCTGTAAATCCTGTACTAAATACATTAAAAAAAGGGGCTGGTGAAATGGCTCAGTGGTCTAAAGCACCTACTTAGAACAAGCTTAGCAAAGCGGTTCAATCCCCCAGTACCACATGCCAGCCAGCCCCACCCTCTGGTGGGCTGAGCTGGCCACACACAAATAAATAAATAAATAAATTAATTAATTAATTAAATTAAAACTTAAAAAAAAAAAGGGGGGACAAACTGAGAAAAAGGCTGGAAGTGTTCATACATGCCTATAGTCCCAGCATTCAAAAGGCTGAAGCAGGAGATTCTATGTAAACGTTCAAAGTCAGTCTGAAAAACATAGTTGAGACCCTGTTTAAAAAAGAAAGGGGGAAAAAAAAATTAGATACACACACACATACGAGATTTTGGGGTGGCACCCAGACCTCAGGTATGCTTAGGCAAGCACTCTACTACTAAGCTACATAGCTCAATATGTAACCTTTTGAGATTGCTTTTCTTTTTCTTTTTCTTTAAGAGATAAGGTCTCGCCATGCAGTGCAGGCTGGCCTTGAACTCACTATGTAGTCCTGGGCTTCTAGGCATATACCACCCAGCCCAACTTTGAGAGTGGCTTTTTCACTCAGCATAATACCCTTAAAGTTCATCCAAGGTAGAGCTGGGGAGATAGCTCAGTAGAATAAGGGCCTGAATTCAATCCCTGGTTCTGGAAAAAAAAAATCATCAAACTATTCTTTGTATCAGTAGTTTTGTGTTTTTTTTTGTTTTTTTTTTTTTTCTTTTTTGCTGGGCACAGTAGTACACACTGGTGATCCTAACACTTGGGAGACTGACACAGGTGGATCACTGAGCGCTCAAGGCCAACTTGTATTACATGATGAGTTCAAGGCCAGCATGGAATACTTAGGAAGACCCTGTTGCAATCAAAAAAGCTGCATGTGGTGGTACATGACTATAATTACAGTACTCAGGAGGCTGAGGCTGGAGGACTGCTGTAAGTTAAAGGCCAGCCTGGACTGCAAAGTGAGTTCAAAGCCATCCTGAGCTGCATAGTGAAATCCTGTCTCAAAAAGATAAAAAGAGAAAAGGAAAGAAAAGTTTATTCCTTTTTATTACTGAATACTATTCCATGAGTGTATATAGTACAGTTTGTTAAATAATTTACCCATTGATGACATTTAAATACTTTTCAGTTTTCAACTGAGAATAAGGCTGTTATGAGCAATCATGTACAGGTTTTGTGGGATATATGCCTAGGTATGTAAGTGCTGGGCCATGTGGTAAGTGCATGTTTAGTGTTATAAGAAACTCCTAAACTGTAAACCAAGCATGGTGTTGCATGCCCATAATCCTAATGCTCTGGGAGTTTGGAACAGGATTGCAAATTCAAGCCCAGCTTACTCAGCTTAAGCAATTTACTGAGACTCTATCTCAAAGTAAAAAATAAAAAGGATTGGGAGGCTGGGGAGATAGCTCAGCGGCATAAGTGCCTGCCTGGCAAGCACAAGGTCCTGAGTTTGATCCCAGGTACCAAAAAAAAAGGATTGGGGATGCAGCTGGGTGTGAAGGCCCTTATGTTCAATCCCCAGTAACGCACAAGAAAATTACATAATTAATTAAACTACTGAACTATTTCCTAGGGTGGCTGTAGCATATTACATTCCTACTTAGCAATTTGTGAATAACGCAGTTTTTTCTACATCTTCACCAGTATGCAGTATTATCACTTAAAAAAAAATTTAGCCATTCCAATGGGTGTGTGGTACATGATGTGTGTTGTGTTGTGTGGTGACCTTCTCACTTCTATGAGAAGAGAAAACTATTTTGGTATTGTTAATGGCTAATCATGTTCATTAAGAGGTTTCTTAGTCTTATATGAAGACTTCTGGTTTTCTTCCTTTTCTGTGTGTTTGTTACTGATGATTGAACCAGGGCCTTGTGCACAGTGAGCATGTGCTCTGCCTTGAAGCTATATCACTGGTGTGCCTTTAGAGCTTTGACCTTCTTTAGGCAGGTTATTTTTGCATTATTAGTAAACTAAATGTTTATAGCTGTTGACCTGGAGTCAAATACCTTTCCATAAAACCCCAGGCCTTGGATTTATCTTCATGATCCTGAGCCTGCAAATCAATGCCCTTCCTTGCTGAGCCCTTCTAAGTGCCTCTTTAATCCTTTGTTTCTCTCTGCAGAGCATTCCTTACCTTTGATTCTGAAATTCAAAGAATATAAAAAACAGTATATCAGAATATATTTTACTTTGTTTTCTAGTTAAAAGCAAGTACAACCTCTTTGTTTCACTATGTATCCACTACCTCTAACTAGAGTCTTTTGGTTTGTAGTTCTAACTGTACCTGCTGGTCAGGTTGCAGAGGAGACTATAATTGAGGAGGAAGAGGAAGAAGCAGAGAAATTGCCAGTGACAAAGAAACCAAGGATGGAAGAGATAACAAATAGTGTGGAGGAAAGTAAGGTAATGTTACTTGAAGCACTGATGGAAGGAAGAAAAAGGCAAGCATCAAAAGCCTTAAGCAGTGGGCCTTTATCTTTTTTTTTTTTTTAATTTTCTGGATAATCTGAGATCAGAAATTCTTACCAGTGATGACATGGCTTACTTTACAGGAAGGCAGTGAAAGAGAGTTACTACAACAGCAACTCCAGGAGGCCAATCGAAGAGCTCAGGAATACCGCCACCAGCTCCTCAAGAAAGAGCAGGAAGCAGAACAGTACCGCCTTAGGCTAGAGGCTATGGCCCAACAGCAGCCCAATGGAGTTGATTTTACCATGGTCGAAGAGATAGCTGAGATAGATGCTGTAGTAATCACAGAAAGAGAGGAGGAAGAGACAGAAACAGAAGTGACTAGGTCAGGAGGTACCACAGAGCCTTATGCTGGAGTCTCTATGGAAACGGTTTCGTCTTAACAAGCAAGATCCACAACTTGCATCGTGTTCATCTTATTCTTCTTTTCAGAAGAAAGTACAGATGGGCACAGTGGCGTGTGTGTGTGAAAGTTCAAGGCCAGCCTGGGCAACTTAGTGAGACCCTGTCTTAAAAATCTTTTAAAAATTTAAAAGGGCTGGGGTGTAGCTCAGTTGTAGATTGCTTGGCTAGCCTATGCAAGGCCCTAGGTTTAAACCTTACTATTGCAAAAGAAAGAGGAGAAGATAATGCAGAGGGAAAATGCTGTATAAAAACTGAGTGTTCTTAATAAGAAAACTGTAGGCTGGAGGTGAAACTCAATGGCAGACACTTGCCTGTTACATGAAAGGCCTGGGTGTGAGCCTCAGCACTGGGGGAAACAAAGCCACCAAACAACGACAGCAGGGAACAGTGTTTGGGCCCAGGAAGGCCATCTGTGTGCAACTGAAAGTTCAGAGTCATATGCAAGGAATGCTCTTTCTAAGGGACCAAAAAAATAAAGACCAGGGGCCGGTGGGGTGGCTCAGTGGAATAAGCGCTTCCCTGGCAAGCGTGAGGGCCTGAGTTCAATCCCCAGTTCCACAAAAAAAACCCCAACAAAGTAAAGACCAGATTTCTCAGTTCACATCAGTGCTTTAAACATAGAGATAAAAGAATGTTGATATTGTGGGTTAACTTTTAAATAACTGACTATTAAAAGTTTTTGAGATAACATTCCTAATATATATATATACCAAGAATCTTTAATAATTGTACCATCAAGTGACCTGAAAAATTGCCTTAAAGTTATGAAACTAATTAGGAGAGAGCTTAGAAGCAGACTTTGGGGAAAAGAACTACTATATTCGACTTCCAAATGAGTAAGACTCTCACCTATCCTGAATTAATTTTACTGAAAAGAAATTTAATGATCCCCTTACAAATTTGTGTCAATTATGTATCTATAGTTCTGATGCCAGTTTACAAAACAAAAGTAGCTGGGCATGGTTGTACATACCTGTAATCACAACTACTAGGGAGGCTGAGGCAGGAAGACTGCAAATTAGCAGCCAGCCTAGGCAAATTAGACTATATTTCAAAATAAAAAATGAAAAGGGCTGGTGAATGGCTGAGCATGGTGGTGAATGCCCATAATATCAGCATTCAGGAGACTGCGGCAGAAGGACCATTGGGAGTCGGAGACCTGACCGTTTAAAAGGTGAGCTCAAGGCCAGCCTGAGCTGCACAGTGAGACCCTGTCTCAAAAAGACAAAAGTAGGAGAGCTGGGGAATGTAACTCAGTGGTAAGCATCCCTAGGTTCTATCCCTAGTACCAGAGGAAGAAAAAAGGTAAGATTGTAACTCAGTGGGAAAGCAGGTATTGTAAGTGTGGGTACTTAGCATGCATGAGGTCCTGGGTCCAAGAAAAAACCAAAAATCTGAAATTGAATTTTTATTTTAGTATTATTATTATTATTATTTTTTGGCGGAACCAGGGATTGAACTCAGGCCCTTGCACTTGCCAGGGAAGCGCTTACTCTATTGAGCCATCTCCCTGGCCCTGAAATTGATATTTAAAAAACTAGATAGAGGGACAGGGAGACAGCTCAGTGGTCTAAGCATCTGCCTGGCAAGCGCAACGACCGAGGTTTGATCCCCCGTGCCACATGCTGTGCCCTGGAACCCTGGGTGCACTGGTGCTGGCCACCGAAACCAGATGTCATGGTGCATGCCTGTAGTCCCAGCGCTGGGGAGGCTGAGACAGGTTGATCACTGTGAGTTTTGTAGCAAAATCCTATACCAAATAAATAAAAGAGTCAAAAAAAAAAAAAAACAAAAAACAAACCCTAGATAGACATTGCACACACCTGTTATCCCAGTACTCAAGAGTCTCAGGCAGGAGATGGATGAGAGTTTGAGGCCAGCTGGGACTACAGAATTCATTCAAGGCCAGCCTGAATTACATATCAAGATCCTGTCTCCAAAAAGAGAACAAATGAGAACACTGGTTTTTGTGGAAAAAGTATATATCAAACCCAAATCCCCTCGCTGGGCATGGTGGTGTGCACCTGTAATCCCAGTACTCAAGAGGCTGAGGCAGGAGGATTGGTGACAGTTCGAGACCAACCTGGGCTACAAAGTGAGCTCAAGGCCAGCCTGAACTGTATAGCAAAACCCTGTCTAAAAAAAAAAAAAAAAAAAAAAAATCCCCAAACTGTGTACTGGAAAGTGGCCAAAAAGAAGTGCAAGAGTTATGAAACAGGGCTCGAGATACTGACTTCGCACTGGCTGGCTTTTGTGGAATTGCACTCAGGAAGGAGTCTGTTGTCAGAACTACTTGCTTGCAAACATTTATATAATATCAAGCTTAGGCTCTTTAATTTTGTAAGACCTTGTTGAATTTTTGTCACTTAGGACATCAGCTTTTCTGTGTAGCTTCTACCCTCTTAAGTGCAGAGGGGACAAAAGGAGGGACAGTTTTATTTCTGTTTGATTCAGACAGAGTAGGTTGCTGTTTTGTAAGCTTGGGCCTCGCATAGAGCTTCATGCCGAGCCTTACGGTGCCGTGCATGCTGACAGGAACAGCGACCGACCGCCAGCACTGCGGTGATGGAATGATGGAAGAGTCGGGCACACGACCGACCGCCTGCCTCCTTGCCCACCCCTGGGCTGCTTGCTACCCAGACTTAGGATTTGTTTCGTTATGGGTTTTCTTCATATGTCAGCATGAAGCTTTTTCCAAAGAAGAGGGCTGTCGGGCGGGCGGAGGGAAAGCAGCGGCAGAGCGGTTGCCTCGCACAGGCCACGACCCTTGAGGTTGGCCTTCCTCGGTCCATACTTACTCACCAGCTTGTTGCAAATTAGGAGAAACCAGAGGAAGATGTGGCCAGTAAACACTTGAATGACTTTTTAAAATATGGTTTTCTTGGGGGCCGGGGAGATGGCTCAGTGGAATAAGTGCTTCCCTGGCAAGCGCAAGGGCCTGAGTTTAATCCCCGGTTCTGAAAATAAAATAAAATAAAATATGGTTTTCTCAATTAGCAAGCATAGAGAAAACATGCATTTTTGGGGAAAAAAAACTTGACAGTTAACATGGTTCTGTTTAACTGTGATTAGTAATTTGCTTCTGTGTTCCAGAAGTACAGCATTTGGGGTCAAAATTCTGTAATCCCCCAAATCAGATTTATGAAGAGAATTTGTTGTTAGAAGTTTTGAAAGTAATCTTGGCTCCTGGCTGCCTTGGGCTTTTTCCAGGGTCTGTGTACCCAGTTCAAGTGACAGAGACATCAGCAGAAGAGCCCAGGTAAGGGCAGGATGAAACGGGTCCCTTCGGTCGGGTTTTCTGTTTCTGTTTCTGTTTGCAGTGTTTTCTTTTTGGGCTCATTTTGGGAACCAGGTGCTGGCAGTAAGCTACTGTGGGTTGCATTTCAGAGCCAAGCTTAGCTGTTGAGGGAGGGACCAAGTGTCCTTTAGATGTCCTTTGTGTTCCTGGTGTGTATGCGGACTTTAATCCCCAACCAGGAGGTGGAGGTTTATTTGGCCGAAGCTGTCTAGGCTCAGCCATCTCACTTTCTGCAGTAGTTACTGATTATGGATTTTAAAAGTGTACTTTTTTTTTTTTTTAAAGACAGGATCTCCTTGAATTGAGGCTGGCCTTGAACTTGTGGCAATCATCCTGCCTCAGCCCCCAAAGTGGGGAAATGTTCATCTAATACTTTTTTTGAAGCATACAGAATTCCATTTGGAGAAAACTATTTATGAGTTCGCATTACCTTTTCTGGGGAAGATTATCTTCCCACCCTTCTCCCTAAAATCTCTAATGCAGACCACATCATTCTTAACAGTAGACTGAATCTCTGAGAGGGGACTTTGTCAGAGGAGAGGCTCAGGCAAGGAGGGAAATGACAGAAACAGGGTGAGGAGGAAGAAGGCATTCATTTTTATTTACTTGGAATCATCCTGATAGCATGCCAGAGAAAGGAAGTAGGATTTGAGCTTCATTTGCATTGCCGTGGTAGGTCCAGGGCTTTGACATGGAATTACTGAAGCTGGGTGTGGTGATGCAACCCTGTAATCCCAGCACTCAGGAGGCTGAGGTAGGAGAATTGCTTCAAGTTTGAGGCCAGCCCAGCCAAAACTGCACAGGGAAACGCTGTCTCAAAAAGACGAAAAAAGAAAAACTGAATCTATTACTCCAGCACCAACTCATGATTTTACATATCTTTCTGAATTAGTATTGAAAATTGGGAAAACGTGGCTTAGATCTTCTGGGTTGGTCAGTATAGTGTTGAGACTGAGTTATTACAAATCAAATAACACAAGTGTGGTGCTTAAGGAGAAACTTGGAGCTTATGCTGTTTATGTTAAAATAAAGCTATATTAGCAATTAGCAATATCAGGTTTTTGTTTTTTGTCTTTTTGAGACAGGGCCTCAATATGCAGATCAGGCTGGCCTTGACCTAACTTTGTAGCCCACTCTGGTCTCAAACTCTCAGTGATCCTGCCTCAGTCTCCCAAGTGCTAGGGTTACGGGTGTGCACCACCATGCCCAGCTAGCAATATCAGTATTAATGTTAGCAATTTTAGAATCTACACTTGCGTTATGGTCTTATGCTATTCCCCAAGAAAAAGAATTTCAAGTTTCTGCTCTTACTCCTAGCTTCAGGGAAGTTAGCCATGAATGTCTAAGCACATCATCCCTTTCTATCACTGCCTCGGTGAGATTGCCTAATTGTAATGTCAGAGTTGAAGTCCATGATTGAAACATGGGAGAACTTGGCTTTAGAGTTTTCTGTGTTTTGAACTCAGTGCCTTAAAAAACGTTTTGTTTTTGTTTTTCTGTCACATGGCACACTTAGTTATTTTTTACTTTGCCATCTCAGCCTTACTCCTGCACCATTTAAATGTTTGTGCCTTTTCAGTAGTAAGTCTATGGCAAACAAATGAGGGTTTTGTTTTTTTTTTTTTATATCATTGTAAAAACTGATTTTACCAGAGGTCTGTTCAGCTAAAGTTATGTATTGTTATGATCAGGGTAATTTTTGTACCCCTTTTCTAGGTGTATGTTAGAATATATTTGTAAAATTTTGAGGGGCCGGGGAG